TTATGTTTACAAATTAAAATTTACCTGTGTTTGCATGAAGATTTCTACTTTGTCGCTTCATATGCTTCTCGATCACATCCATTTCATCATCTTCATCCTCGTCTGACAGCAACCCAGCGATTTCCTCCTAAATTAAGTTAATTGCTCTGTACAGATGGAGATAACACTGATACTCGCCTTTTGGAACCATTTGTCAGCCCGCGTTTCTTTCTTCTGTGCCTTGCTCAAACCACTTTCTTCAGTATTTATGAGCTCATTGTCGCTTTCATCACTGGATTCCTCTCCATTCTCATCACCGCTCTCCTCTTCGTCGCCGGAGCTTGATGGTGATGATTTTAGTACAGAAGAACAATTATTGAAAAAGGAACCTACCCTTCACCCCTTCTAGTCTCCCATTCTCCTTCACCAAGTCCTTCTTCATCCTCTTCTTCAACTTCAACCTCAGGTGTTTGAACAGAGTTCGACGTCAATTTGTTCAGCTCTCGGGCCTACAGTCAAAAATGATTGAAGGAAAAACTCTCCTAAGCTGATGCCATAGCTTTTCATTGGATTAAATCTTGTCATATCAAACATTAGTATTTAGAAATTACCCTACGAATCTTCTTCAAGCTGAAGAGCTCAATATCTTCAACTTGATCGGCATGGTCGCCTTCGATGATCATTTTGAGCTGGCGTCTTCTTATAATTTTCGCCTTTGCTTTTAAGAGGCGTTTCTTTTTCCTAAACAAATGTTTCAACAATTGACAAAAACTGAATTTAAGAAATCTGCCAACTTTTTTAGAGCAGCACGCTCCTCTTCACTAGCTCGAGCAATCATCTCGTCAATTTCAGCCATCTCTTTATCTCTAAACGCATTCTGGTATAAGTTAAAGTCGCAACAGGGAAAGCATGAGGTTTTGATCAACTTACTCAAGTTCATCTTCATTCAGTTCCGCTTCAGGGAGCTTTTCTTCACCAAGTTCCCTAAAGTTACAAAGTAGCGTTTGAAAAACAAGATGAAGAAGGAACTTACTCTTCTAAGGCTTTGAGTTCCTCTTCCAAGATAGCTCTCATGGCTTTTCTCCATTTCAACAGTTTTCGCAGTTCACGCGGCCCACAGACTTTCAAATCTTTCAGGTACTC